GTAGACAATCTTTATGGAAGTATCTATGAATACGATAAGAAACTTGTTACGTTAGAGGAGGGGAAGATATAATAATAAAAACCGTAAGGCAAATATAATAATAAAAAGGGGGAATAAAAATAAAAAATTAAAAATAAAGGGATAGATAAAATGGAAAAACAGAAATGAAATCCCAAAGAACCATAAATCCATCCAATCAATAATTAATTCAAGAGAGAGTTTTAAAAATCAAAGTATAATTAAAGGGAATAAAATAAAAATATAAAAAAGTATAAAATTAAGTGTAATAAATAGACGAAAATAAATCTAAAAACAATTGTTCCAGTATAAAAATAAAATTGAAAGAAAAATCTCTCTCTATAATGGTACCGAAGGGGGGCAAAAAAAGAGACGTGGACGGCTTTGGAGGGGGTTTGTTTAGTGGCTTGGGCATTGAGTGGGCGGCCGCGCGGGCCACGTGGATTTATTCCGTTTGCGTGGCCCGTTTGCGTGGCCTATTTGAGAGGTCAGGTTTGCTGTTCTGTCTGATTTGGTGTGTTCTGGCGACTTGTGGTGGGCTCTGTTGTTTGGTGAGGGCAGGCTCGTTTGGTGAGGGCAGGCTCGATGGGGCCTCGCGCTGAAATTGGCCCGGGGAGCCTTTGGCCCTGCGCTTCGCGGGCCGGAGGCTCTTTTCAATATTGCCCTTTTTTTGGTGTTTGTGTCCGGTTAGCGCCACGCCGGCCCCGGGATCTCTCTGCTTCCGTTCCAGCCATGTCGCTGGGCGACTTCTGTGTTTTATTTCCGCCTCTTCTCGTGCTTGCTCAGACCCACCTCTGCTCGCCAGGCCAGCCAGCCCGGCCCGGAGGCTTGTTTTTTCGCGCCCCGAAGTATGCGTGTAGGAGGCCCGAGGCCCATGAGCCAATTTCGCACGCCGCATACTGGAATAATGAGATGGGCATTTTTTGCCATTCTGCTGGTATGCCCTGTTTGGTTTGCTTTTTGCCTGACTAGCCCGCTCGGACTTTAAGAGATCGCCCCACCCCGCCCCAAAATATCCGGGGTACCAGGGTGCCAGCAGCGACGATGACATGACTTCTGGGCAATCCATATTCTCGTAGCAGCTTCGAAATAATCTGGTCGCTTGCCATACTGAGGGAAGTCACGGGAGGCTTCATTCGATGCGGGTATAATGCCGTTTACACACGTGTCGACCCAAACCTTTTTCTGCTTCGGGACCGACCCGGAACGGCTCAGTACAATGGGTATATTCCCATGGCGACAGTTTGCCAAATCATACCCCTGTTGTGAATTTCTCGTATTGCAGAGTCAGAAGCGCCATTCCTAGAGTAGGCTTGGGCACGACATCTAGTACATAGCTCTTGATAAGCAATGCCGTGCTCTGTCCATACGGAAATATTGGTGGCAAGCTAGATCCTCCGGTTTGCATGAGATATGAAAAATCAATCGAGTTTTGTTCGATCACGCCAGATGTCAAGATACCAATACTATGGATTTGGACCGAGGCTCTTCACGAATATTCTGAAACCTCAGATGTCACGGCTTTCAACACTTGATGTCAATGTTGATGGCGCCCTGCATTTCAATAGGGTGCTTTATCCGTGGAATGGCTAGCTACAAGTGAATCATGCATTTATTAGGGGCTAGCCCCGAAACATGAGGACAATCTCATAGTGCTTCTTAGATCCGGAAATGGATGAAAGAGGCCGAGACTTGCCAGGGACACTGACTCAACAAAGCTTATCAGTTTGTCAAATGCATTGTTCACCCCGGGAATGCTTTGGGAGTAAGCGCTACTGGTACGCCTTTCCCCCTTCCCAAAATAAAAACGGACAATTCTGCTAAATGTGACTGAGTACCAATGTAGTGGACCATCGCAAGCCTGGAAACCTACTGACCACTATGTGAGCGCAGTATTCTGTGTATGGAATCTCCTTGCTATTCAAGTAGCCAGAGCCCAACAGTAAGATTGTCAAGACCCAATTCAAAGTCATTTATTCTGAACTCCAATTGTTCCGCCGGCTTCTGTGCTCATCTACTGTGTGCACATCCAAGCCGATTTCGTAAGCTCCATACTGCGCAGTTTTGGACGGGACATCACGGACGCCACTCGATGCAACTTTCGGTATGGGCCCACATTTGCCGGTTTTCAGGCCCACGCTTTCAACCGTGGTTTTAGTATCACGTCAACGGCCCTCTAGTAGAGCCAAAGCGGCCCCCAAACAGCATCTGCCATACCTAGCCTAGCGTGTTTTACACGTTGTGGAAACTCAGGAAAAGGCATATGTTGATGTGCAGCGTAATACAGGACACGCTAAGGCTTGGGCAAATAAAATGGTGGACAAGATGTGGACCAAGTAAAAACTCTACAGCCTCGGTCATCTACAGTAGATGAGGAGGGGATCTTCATCTCCATAAGTGGATCAGAAGACCGATGTTGCACCCAAATCTGGCGGGCCTGCCGGCCCAATCGGGAGCCTCCTCAAACCAACTTTAAAAGTGGAGGGAATTGCAAATGGATTGAAGGAGAAAGGCTGATGAAAATTTCCTGCAATTAAAGCGCCATTGTCTCCCATGAATGCCTCATATGCGCGTTTAATAATAAAGCCAACGTGGCTCACCGCGCCATTTTCCTGGCGATCCCAGCCTGCCACGTAGTATCCGCCATGTAGTCACCACTCACGTGGCATAAAAACTTCCGTACGGGGAGAGTTTTTTCCCTCTTTCTTTCTCCTTCAAGGGTTTTTAGAGAATAGTAGTATTCTAAGGCTCCTAAGTACCGTACATACTTGACTTGAGAAATTTAATATTGAAACAGCCGCACTGCGGGATGCGTCTCATGAAGACATGGGCAGTATGGCAACACTCCGAAACAACAGCAGGGCCTTTAACGCACGTCTCCTTGAGCCCCGAAACATGGGCCCGCTACCCCGCCCAATGCGCCTAAAAGCTTATTTTGCCATTTATGGTCGAAGTGCCCGTGAGGCCTTTGGGTGCTGTGCAGGACTGGAACCCCGGCACGGCGCCGGCTTGCAAGGCCCCTATGCAGCAGCCCGTGCCAGGATCAGATTGGGTGTCCCATTTGAGACATTGTTGTTTTTTGCCTCACGGGATTTTTGGATCCTTAGAGCCATTTGCACCGGTGGCCTCGGACAGGCCGTGGTGGCAGAACAGGCCCCCGACCCGGCCGGTGTTCTATGTACAGGATCCCGTTTTGCTAGCGACGGGCCACTGCCATTGTTCAGGACCAGGCCTCGTCAGCCTCCGTGCGGCGCACTTTGCGGGAAGAGCTGGGCAGGTCTTTCATGGAGGATCACAATAGATTTGAGATGGGAAAGGTATAGCAGGGGTGTTTAGGGAGTGGCTGGAAGCTGCATTCAGCGGACCAGTGGATATCCAGGATATGGAGCTCCAATATGGCCTAGCACGGTGTTGGCAGTATGCCAGTGTACAGTATACTATTGAACCTTGTCAGTGTAGTATAGTGTATTATACAGAGTAGGGAATTGTACAACCCAGTGTACTACAGTGTATTACATCGGTGTATCAAAGGTCACCATACAATATAGAGCATTGTGTTTCCATACAGTGTACTATAGTATATAATATAGAGTAGGGTGTTGTACAGCCCAGTGTACTACCGTGGAATTACATGCAGTGTAGGACATTGTACTTCCCAGGATATTATAGTATATTATGATACAGCGTAGGGCATTGTATAGCCCAATGAACTACAGTATACCACACAGTATATGATCATACAAGATGGAATAGTGATTACCTTACAGTAGTACAGTGTAATACCACATATTGCCATGGACCTACTAGTACAGTGTATTGCAATCACGACAATATGGAACACGGTATTACCATACAGTATAATATATAACCGTATAGTGTACTATACTACCATACGTGTACTATATTACCATACAAGTATATTCCCATACGTGTACTATATTACCATACAGCTAGAATACCATACGTGTACTAGAATACCATACGTGTACTAGAATACCATACGTGTACCACAGTATGACCTCACAGTAGCTACCATACAATCCACCACAGTATATTACCACATAGTCTATCAACCTCCTACAGTATATTCACATACAGTGTATTGAAGTCACTACAATAGGGACACTGTATTCTCATACGTGATGCAATCCACCACAGTATATTCTCATACAGCGTATTGAACTCACTACAATAGGAAACACTGTATTCTCATACAGTATACTATATTACCATACAACCCACCACGGTATATTCTCATACAGTGAAATAGAGTCACTACAATATGGAACACTGTATTACCATACAGTATACTATATTACCATGCAACCCACCACGGTATATTCTCATACAGTGTGATAGAGTCACCACAATAGGAAACACTGTATTCCCATACAGTATACTATACCATACGTGTACAATATTACCATACAACCCACCACGGTATATTCTCATACAGTGAAATAGAGTCACTACAATATGGAACACTGTATTCCCATACAGTATACAATATTACCATACAACCCACCACGGTATATTCTCATACAGT